TTTGCGTAACCTAATGTTAACCAAACACCTCTTGCTACTCTAACTCTTACCAAATACGTTTACTAATGCTAATGAAACACCTGTGTAGCTCTAACCTTTATGTTAAGAAAGCATTATTTATGGACCGATCCTATAATTCTTTGTTTTATTTTGTACCTGACGTCTGGACAGAGTCTCTCTGCGTTTAGCCGGCATCTCATAGACCACCTGCTTCCAAAACTTGGAGGACAGCTCATTGCTCTTTGGACCCCTCCACTTGATAACAGATAAGACCTTATGAGCAGAAAAGCAAAGGTTAGTCCCAAGGTCACTTTTTGCATCGCCTTCCTTTATCCGCCATCAAAAGACTCTGTACCTTGATTGTATGTTTCAGAGCTTCCACCTCTTGGTAATTGATGACATTCTTCAAGTTCGCACACTCTATCATGATCACCTAGACAAACAGAAACAAAGAGAAAAGAGGAAACATGTAAAATCTTCACCAACTGAGTTTTAAAGTCGTAGGGAAGCGGCTGTTCCAACCGTTGCATTTCCAAATTCTCCTGAGTGGTGCACGACTTTAAACAAGTGAATAAGGTGAATGTGATAGTAGGTTCCCAATGGGAAATTCCATTGGGACCAAGTAGCACTAAATTGGTGACTTAGAAACGACACTGTCAAGGAACGCTATGGACAGAGGAAACATGCAAGAGGAGGAGAGTTTAGTGTCGGAGGTTGTTGATGAGCTGCGACATATGAATCAAGATGCCATGACCAAAAACATTTGATTGACAGATGACTGTTGATATATGATTGGCCGAATTGTTTTAAAGGATTGTTTTAAAAAAAGAAATTTTCTAAATTTTGGGACAATATTGTCTGATAAAGAGTACATTTTTATTCATGTTTAGGCCAGAATGATTTGACATTTAATTATGACTTCCTTATGACTTCAAACCAGTAAGGAGCAGAGATGATCTACAAAGCCCACCTTGATCTCTCCTGTCACCAGCATGGAGTGGAGACGCGTCTCTATCTGGAAGATGCTCCAGCCTCTTTTGGCAACGAACTCCGGAGTCAAAATGATAATCAGGCGCCTGCTCTGCTCCACGCTGCGCGCCAAGTCCTCAATGTAAGCTGAAGGAGAGAGAAGTGGTGAAATAGAGAAGGGACAGAGATCCATTAATGCAAAGGAAAAATGCCAGCTAGCTGTAATCACAATGCATTTATTCAAAATGCACCAAATGATTGAGGGCTGTGTTGGTCTATCTGGAACCTTTGGGAGATAAACCCTTCTCATAGTCACTGGGATAAACATGTTGTGTTCAGCTGCAGATAAAACCTTTGTCATTATGTTTCCTGCATTAAGGGCTCATTATAGTGTGTGTTCCTATTTTTCCAACAAATTAGATTTTACATATCCCAGCACTTACAAGAGGGTAAACATAAATGTAATAAAGTTTTTGCCTGTAATATTTCGATGCAATGCTACTGAGACATTACACGGACCGAACTAAGAGTCTTATCACAACGCCTCTGCGGATGATGAGACGGAAAAAAATAACTACCCACATTGTGCCCAGATTATACTTTTACAGGGAGTTTTACTTTAAAAGCTAACATTATTAATGTTCTTTATCTTTTGGCTGTGTAGCTGACAGATAAGGAGTAATTTTAAGTTCTTTAACTTACATTAGAGATTAAAAAAAGACATATTTCAAAATGTTAGAATTGCTGATTGAATAAGTTCCTCACCCCAGCGGTCCACTTTCCATTTGATTCCTCCAATCAGCCTTAAGGCCCATTCATACCTCACGTTTGGCCTGCACGTCCGTATTTCTGTCCGTACGTTCTATCCGTTGACTCCTTCATACCTCCGTCCGTTGAGGTGCGCAATAACCTGTATTTCCTCTAGGTGGCAGTGCTGGGCGCCAATGATTCGTCATTGATCAAAACATGGCGATGGTCCAAGACCTGATTCTGTTGCATTTGTTGACATTTTGTACTAAAAACTCAATAGCGCCCCCACCGTTTCCGGTAGTATTGCTCCGTATTGATCCATTTCGTCCGTAAACGAAAGCTCCCAATTTTCGTGTCAAAGTACGGACGAAATCGACGGTTAGAACGTATGAAACACTCCACACGTATCCGTATC